AGCAGAGAAGCTTTCTTGACCTTTACATAGCCAAAGCTGATGTTTCTAGTCTTCCAGCTCATGGTTACCCTTAATGTGAACCGGGCACCAAGGCCATCCCAAAGAAAAAGAAGGAAAGCAGCCATCCATGACAGGCCTTGTGTTAGGCACCTGGGTGCATTAATAAAAGCAAGAGCCTTATCTTAGAGGACCTCAAAGTTATTGGGGGAAATGCACTATAATGAGATCAGTCATAACCTAGTTAGGGTTTACATACACGACAATAAAGGAGGGTGAATGTGCAGTGAAGGGAGGGATGTATTCTTGTGGGAAAGAGGAGCGATAAGGACTGAGGAAGATTTCCTAGAGGTTGTGGGTTTGGAAGTGGGATTTGGAGGATGTTGGGGTATATTAGGCAGAGACACATGGAAAGAACATCCTTGACAGAGGCGCAGCTGAACAAAAGGCACCGAGTAAGGACAAGGTCTGGGAATGCGGAGTGGTTCGGTGTTACTAGGGCATAAGATCCCTGGGGTGACATGATGGGCTTGAGGAGAAAGAATTCCTCTCCCTTTCAAGGGTCTTTCTAGTTGGACTAAGAATCAAATTGACATGAGACAGAGTAACAGGGGAAAATCAGATCTAATAGGAATCCACACGGACATGGATACTCCAAGGACAGTCAGGCAAAATGAGGTATATACCTGAACTGTCTCATATCACATAATGTGAAACAACTATCAGGTACATATCAGAAGCATCCTGAACTAAGGAGAAGTAGGATAAGAGTCTTGGACTTCAGAGGAAAGGAACACAATTCACAGGCCAATAAGAAGAAGAGCAGTTGTTTGGTAAATTAGATGTATGTTCTGTAATGCAGGTGGATCACTCAGATAAAATTTCTCTCTGCTAAAAACCCTCATCCTGGGAGAAACTGCTAATTTAGATTCTTCTACGTAGTTGCAGGAGGGGTGAAAGTTTCTCTTGAGCCTGCAGGGTCTTTTAAAAAATTATTTATTTTTTTGACACACAGAGCGCACAAGCAGATGAAGCAGCAGGCAGCGGGAGAGGGAGAAGCTGACTCCCTGCTGAGCCGAGAGCTTGATGTGAGACTCAATCCCAGGACCCTGGGAACATGACCTAAGCCGAAGGCAGCCACTTAACCCACTGAGCCACCCAGGCATCCCTGAACCTGCAAGGTCTTGTTGCTTTCAGCTCAAAATAATTTTCATGTCAGAGTGGCCCATCTTGGGGTGGCCTGCCTTCGACCCTACAGTGGGAACTGGAAAAGCAGGTGAGGGCCAGAATTAGAAGGCCTTGGCCACTGGTGTGAGTGGTTAGATTTATTCCTATCAGCTACGCACCTACGGAAGGCTTTTGAGCTGTTATATTGGATGCGCACCCTCCCTCGACCCTCTGTCTCTAGAAGGAAGCCTCTGCTCTTCTGCTGGGCCCACTGATCCCCTTAGCTCTACATAGCTCCTAATGATTGCTTCAGGTTTCAAGGCTTTCAAAACTGTCTGGATTTGGTGGAATGATTTATTATTATTATTATTATTATTATTATTATTATTATTTTAAAGTAGACTCCATGCCCAGTGTGGAGCCCAGTACAGGGCTTGAACTCACAACCCTGAGATCAAGACCTGAGCTGAGATCAAGAGTCAAAAGTTTAACTGACTGGGCACCTGGGTGGCTCAGTGGTTTAAGCCTCCGCCTTCGGCTCAGGTCATGATCTCAGGGTCCTGGGATCGAGCCCCACATCGGGCTCTCTGCTCAGCAGGGAGCCTGCTTCCCCCTCTCTCTCTGCCTGCTTCTCTGCCTACTTGTGATCTCTGTCAAAAAAAAAAAAAAAAAAAGTTTGACTGAGCCACCCAGGCATGCCTGGTGGAATGATCTTTTTTTTTTTTTTAAGATTTTATTTATTTATTTGACAGAGAGAGAGATAGATCACAAATAGGCAGAGAGGCAGGCAGAGAGGGGGGGAAGCAGGCTCCCTGCTGAGCAGAGAGCCCGGTGCGGCACTCGATCCCAGGACCCTGAGATCATGACCTGAGCTGAAGGCAGAGGCTTTGACCCACTGAGCCATCCAGGCGCCCTGGAATGATCTTTTTAAGAAAAAATTTGATATTCTCTCTCTGGCTCTTTATACTGTAGGCAAATAGTACCAATGTTTTAGGTTTGGGTCAGCTTTGTCTGTTCTCCCCTCAGGGAAGGAGGCTTAGATATTTAGTATTTTTGAGTTTTATGTTCAGTTCTGTAGGATTTGTAGTCACCACCAAGTGAGTGTCAGAGGTGGTTGGTGATCTTTCTGTTCAACCAGGGGCACCTAACTAAGTTAAAGACAGAGCTGAGACAAAAGCTCAGGTCTTTTGACTTCCAGTCCAGTGTTCTTTCTGATGTGCTCCAGCTTCTGCCACTGCTGAGCCAGCTGTGGGACAGACCAAACGTGCCCAGCTACCTCAGACACACTGACTGCGAGAGCTAAAAGTAAGAAAATCCAAGTTCCCACAATGGAATTCTGTACCTCAAGCCAGCCAACATGGTTTTATGTCTTTTTTTTTTTTTTAAGATTTTATTTATTTATTTGACAGAGAGAGTACAGCAGGGGGAGGGAGCAGCAGTCAGAGGGAGGAGAAGCAGACTCCCCACTGAGTCAGGAACCCAATGCAGGACTTGATCCCAGGACCCTGAGATCATGACCTGAGCCAAAGGCAGCCGCCCAACTGACTGAGCCACCCAGGCACCCTGGGTTTATGTCTTTTGATACTCCTCCTTCTTCTGTGGAATGGGAGCAGAGCCTACCTAATAGTTCAGCTGCCACTGAGAGCAGGGATTGGAGTGTAATAGGGTTATTTGTTTTGTGATGGGTGAAGGACAACAAATCTCTGTCCCAGTCCTATAATCTTTTTTTTAAAGACATTTATTTATTTATTTGAGAGAGAGCGTGACAGAGAGCACGAGAGAGAGAGCAAGCCCAAGCAGGGGGCAAGGGTGGAGTGAGAGGGAGAAGAAGGCTCCCCGCAGAGGAGGGAGCCCCATGCAATGGCTTGATTCCAGGACCCAGGGATCACGACCTGAGCCCAAAGCAGACGCTTAACCAACTGAGCCACCCAGGCGTCCCCAGTCCTATAATCTTAGAGTCAGAGTTGGAAGGAAACTCGGAGGTGATTGGTGGTGACAGGTAGCTTCATGTAGTCCACAGAGCCCAGAAGTCTCCCTAGAACCAGCGGCAGAGCTTCCTGCCTTTGGAAGTATTCAAGCTGAGAAAGCATGTTCGAGCAGAAGAGATCCTGCTCAAAACGGGCGTTCTGCACAGAACAGGTGGCTGGACAGACGACTCCATGGTTTCTGGCTCCTGCACACATTTCCTCTAATAGCTGTTATGCCCGAGTTTTTGCGTTTGAGAGACCACCAAGAAGCCAAGCACCGATGCAATCACACAAGGGTTTATTTGACAAGCTTAAGCTTGGGCTCAAGTATACCCGACGCAGTGGAGTAGGGACTTGGACCCCGAGCCGGATTACAGTCAGAGTTTTTAAAGGCAGAGTAGGGGTGGACTCAGCGGTGGGTGAGGACAAAAGAAGTTATGGATGATGTAAGTTTCTAAGGAATTTTGGAAGCGAAGTCTCCAGGGCCCTGAGGGGCTAGCTGTTGCCTGGGGAAAAGGTTTTTCATTACCAATAACAAAAATCTTCTTGTGAGACCCTTTAGATGTATATCAGTGGGTCATTTGCTTGGGAATGATCGCTGACACTATCTTGGAGGTTTAGAGATAAAGTTTCACATTTCTCCTATCAAGTGTCCTTGTTAGTGAGATTTAGGTTTAGAAGAAATTTAACTTTATTTAGGGCTTGAGGAACTGAGTTATTTGCCTCTGGAAATTGTGCTATTGTTAAGATAGTTTCTTTGTTGTAAATCTCTAGGGCATTGGTAAACAGAGGGAGACTTCTGTCTTGCAGGATTGTGATCTCTGCAAGTTAACTATTTGCTTTTCCCCCAGGGCAGCCAGGGGTGGCTGAGGAATGTCACACATGCTACCGAGGGGAGGGGAGCAGGTGGAGAGGGGGTGCAAGGTGCCAGTCTCCGCTTTGCCAAGATGGCTGTACTTATGCCAGGGCTAGACTCGAGGTGGGTGCAGCCTTGTTTTTCTTGGCCTCCACAATAGCAGTTCAGGCGAGGTCGCAGGGCAGCTGGGCTGTGAACCGTGGTAGGTCAGGGATCTTCCACAGGGCGAACCTCAGGGGTCACTGGTAACAACAGCCGTCATCACCATCTACCGCTCACATGCCAGGCACTGCACATACCAAATTACCTCATTTCATATCTAGGATCGTGAAAGGTACGTTGAATGATCGATCACAAACCTCTATTTCTTAGACGAGGAAACAGGGATTTATTTTTTTTTTATTTTATTTTTTTATTTTATTTTTTTTAAAGATTTTATTTATTTATTTGACAGAGAGAGATCACAAGTAGGCAGAGAGGCAGGCAGAGAGAGAGGGAGGAAGCAGGCTCCCCGCTGAGCAGAGAGACCGATGTGGGACTTGATCCCAGGACCCTGAGATCATGACCTGAGCCGAAGGCAGCGGCTTAACCCACTGAGCCACCCAGGCGCCCGGAAACAGGGATTTAAAAACGTGCCTACAATCTCCTTGGGACTGACCCTAGATTAAATTTAGGTTTGTCAGATTCTTTTTTCCTTCTTTTCTTTCTCCTTCCTTTCTTTTTCCTTCAGCTCCAGTCTCTGTCTTGCGCGGGAACAGAAGAAGGGAGTGGCTTGGAAGCTCCGCTTCCCGCCGCCCTGGGCGCTGAAGAATGACCCACCCGCAGGAAGACTTGCGGCGGAAGAGGCGATGACGCTCCCTGCCCGGAGCGGGGCTGGACCGTGCGAGCCGCTGGGGCGCCCAGGGCGGGGCCGGCGGCGGGCGCGCCCTCCCGTGGGCGGGGTCAGGGGCCGGAAGTGGCTCGGGGGACGGTCAGGAGCGGGAGTGGACTTCCTGACGCCGCGACCTGGGGTCCTAGTGGGTGGCGGACTCGTCTCTATCCCCGCCAAGTTCCATCTCGCCGCCTCAGCCTGTCGGGACGATGGTGGTCCGCCTGCTGCTGCTGCTGCGCGACTGGCCCCGGGGCCCTGCAATTGGCCCGGGATCCCTATGTCGGTCCCTTAGCTCAGGCTCGGGGTCCCGCGAGTACCTGCAGCGCAGCATCGTGCCCACTATGCACTTCCAGGACAGCCTGCCCAGGTGAGCCCGGCCTCCCGGTCCCCGCCGCCCGCTGGGATCGGCCCCAGCCTTCACACCAGTCACTCACGACTCGTGCTGAACCCGCTCCCACCCCCCCAAATACTTAACCTGGGACGCTGTTAGAACTCGGAATCTGGAAACCCTGTCACTTTGAGAATCTCCTGACACAGGAACCTCAGAACGTTTGCATTCCCTTCCAGAACGCCCCATTTCTCGCTCAGATTCTCCGTCTTGAGCCTTTTTCAGATTCTATCCAGTGACCCAACTCCCATCCAGATACCGAGGAGTCCCTCACAGTTCTTCCTGAAAAGTACTCACCCTGCATATCTCCAGCACCACCCTTACCCCTCCAGCTAGGGTGTCCCCTGAAGTACTTTGATGACTGCCCCTCCTCCCTGCCTAGAATATAGAGAGGCCAATTCCTGATACATAGTAGTTACCCTCCCTCAACTTTTCCCAGCACTCCGACCTTCCTCAGGCCTGTTGCTCAGCCCCACTCACCATACCTCCAATACTCTGCTCTTTTAGCAGCCCATGGGTCACCCAGCACACTCCTCAAGCACTCACCTTACCCTTCTCCGGCCTCAGCACTCCTAAGTCCTGTCTTCACCTGAGGGCCTTTCACCCCTTCCAAACCTTCCTCAACTACTGGCAAGGTTTCTCTCCCTAATATATCCTCCCCAACCCACAATTAACTTCTGCAGCTTCAACCTCCTCACAGAATTCTAGACACCACCCTCAGTGCCCCTCCCAAACTCTAAGTCAGCTTAGATCCAGAAACCCCCCTCCCCCAATTTTTCTGTGTTCATCCTCACCTGAGCTACCCGCTCCTTCTAACACTTCGCCCGGAGTTTCCTCTATTGGGAAAATAGTCCCAATAAATCATCCTCTCTTTTTCCCTCATGCGGTATTTTCTTTTCTTTTCCCACCTGGTATTTTCTTTAAGTCAACTTCCAGTTTTCCTAGTCTTTGAACTGCCAGCCTTAATCTGAGCCTACCTGGGCTCCTTTTCCAAAGTTAGAAATTTCCTGAAATTCATTTACCCTCTAAAACCAGACTTTAACTTCTCTGCTCACTCACCGGTTAGTTCCTGGTGCCAAGTCCCAAAATTGTCTCAAAGACCCTTCTCACTTCCTTTCTCACCAAACTGCCACCAGGGATCTCCCAGTCCAGGGACTGGAGGCCGGGGCTTTTGTATCATAGGGGTCACCCCAGCTACTGGGTTGCTGTTTTCTCCACATCCAGTGACTGTGTAACCCACAGTCATCTTTGCCCACCCCCACCCTCTCAGAAATAGCATCTGAGGTGACCTTCTGAAATAACGGCGTGCAGACATCTAACGTGGACAAAAATGAGATTATCTAGCTCCAACCCCATTGCTTCAATTTGGCAGGAGGAAGGAGGAAAAAAAGTTGCCTTTATTCCTGTGGGCAAAGTCTCCTTAACAGCCTACGGGTGAGCTGAGCCAGCCTGTATGTGGGGGAAAGGTGAGGAATGACAGAACCTGTCTTCACTTGCCAAGCCCAGGAGCATTTGACCTTCTGGCAGGCCTGCGCTCCACTCGGGTTTAAGATCAGAGGGATTTTCTCCGTTTTAGAATTAGTAAGCTGGGAGTAATACTCAAGATCATTTCCTCCAACCTGCGACAACAAAAGTCAGTAGGAATTGCTCTATGAACAGTAGTACTGACTCATCACCCGTGTTTAACTTGGAACAAGGACCACCAGGCCTCCATTACCTTAGCTGTAAACTGGTGGTTAGAAAAGATGAGATTGCTTTTATCTCAGCTCGAGACAGGTGAAATGTATTATCTTTGGCATTCATTTTGATGTTCTGCTTGGTGAAAAACCCTGGCATTGAAGTCTGGTAGAACTTGTTTTCAGAGTCTAGATGTGATACTTAGCAGCTTCAGGCAAGTAACTTTTTTCAGCTACAGTTCTTACCAGCATGGGAATGAAACACAAACTTCATAGGGCTATTGTGAGCACAGAGTGAGGTAAGATGCCAAAAATAGGGAACTCTCCTAATTAGTTTTCCTGGGAAGGGCTAGTCTCTTTGTGGTAGTTCAACTGGATCTCCTTCCCTCCCTCTTCCTGTTCCTGTCATATCACTGCTGCCTTTTTTTTTTTTTTTTTTTTTTTTTTAAGATTTTATTTATTTGAGAGTGAGGGAAAGAGAGCAGGAGCCGGGGGAAATGGCAGAGGGAGAAATAGGCTCTCCGGTGAGCAGGGAGCCTGATGCAGAACTCGATCCAGGACCCTGGGATTATGACCTGAGTTTAAGGCAGATGCTTAACCGAGCCAGCCACCCAGGCACCCCTATCCCTGTTGCCCTCTGGCCACTTTTGTCTTTATACCCTTGCATGGTCATTTATTTGCTTTTTAAGTGTTAATGATTTTTTCTTTCCTCCTTTTTAGTGTGCTCAAATGTGCATCATAAAATTTAGCATTTCAACTATTTTTAGGTGTATAGTTCAGTTAGGCGTTATTTTTAAGGGCCACATTTATATACACTGAAGAGTTAACCTCAGAATATAAAACTGCAAGTCCTGGAGGGACAAAGGGTGGGCCAGCCTGACCCACTCATTCACATTATTAATTTGAGAAACATTTATTGGTGTGGATTTATTTTTATTTATTTTTTAAAATTTTATTTATTTGACAGACAGATCACAAGTAGGCAGAGAGGCAGGCAGAGAGAGAAGGAGAAGCAGGCTCCCCTCTGAGCAGAGAGCCCGATGCGGGGCTCGATCCCAGGACCCTGAGACCATGAAACCATGACCTGAGCCGGAGGCAGAGGCTTAACCCACTGAGCCACTCAGGTGCCCCTACTGGGGTGGATTTAGAGACCAAATTGGTCATGGTGAGGAGCACACCACACAGTGGGAAAGATTTGACAGATAAACAGGTAAAGATAAAATGTGATAAATGGGAAGCAGCATTTCATGATGGTTAAGCTTGTCATCCTGAAAAGAAAGAGCTACAATGGGAGGCAAATGAACATTTATTTGGGATCAAAGAATCGCTATGTGGGGAGCACAAATTCAAGTAAATACCCAAATAGGGTTCCCACCTGTAGGGTGAAAGCAACAAATTCTTATGAGGAAGAGAAAGGGGCAATTACATGAGTTGAATAAAAGTTGAGTTACATTACATGAGTTGAATAAAAGGGGGAAATTGTTTTCTATGCATGTTTACAAGTCAAACTACTCCCAGTTATACATTAACTGCTGACTTTTTTTTTTCTAGACAGTCCATAACCACCAGTCTTGTGATCAGGGTGTCTGTTCTTCTGTTGACTTCTCAAACAATTGCTCAAAGACAATTGCCATTTTGTCCAGAAGGTTTCTGGCCAGTTCAAACAAGAGCAGTGGCTGCTCCAACTCTATTTTAAAATGGCTCCAGTCCTGTCAGTTTTCCACAAGATCATGAGTCAGGAGTCAGATCTGATTTTTAATCCAACTCCACTTCAGACTAGCTGCATGGCTGTGAGCAGGTCATCTAACCTAAACACTGGGATGATAATATTATCTTTCTCTCAGGATTGTTAGAATTAAATGCCCTGATATGAAGCACTTAGTACACATCTGGCACTTAGTGACAAGTACTCAGTTGATATTCACAAGAACTGTAGCTGCATCAGGAATGTGTTTGCAGGTATGGGATATGCTTGGTGACAATTTCTGTGTTATGTCTGTGTGCAGGTCAGGGAGACAGTGCCTGTGCGAGCAAGGGAAGCTTCACAGAGGAGGTGGCATTTGAGGACTTTGAAGATCCCTAAGTGAGAGCAGTGAAGGAAGGGTAGAGCAGCTCATGCCCAGGAACAGAAGCCTGAAAATACATGGCATGTTCAGAAATGTTGAGAAGTTTCTGGAGGGTCCAGCTCAAAGTAAAGAATCAGCATTTGGGCCCTAAGTTACTAGAATTGGCTGGGGGTGTGTGTGTGTGTGTGTGTCCGCATGCACGTGTGTGCTTGTGATGGGATCATGATTGGGGGCGGCCCATTGTGTCTTTTAAAAAAAATCAATCACCATTTTAGGCCTATAGTTGATTCACAATAAATGTCAATCTGTTTTTGTCTTTTAACCCCTAATCACTTGAGATGATAATTGGTGTTCCAGACAGAATGGGCAGAATTCAAATGGGAGGCTGGGGAGGCCAGAATTTTCTGAGTGTGGAGGATAACAGGGCCCCAGAGGCTCTTCCTTAAGATAGATTGGCTTTATCTCAATGATAACTAGATTGTGTGCAAATACAAAAGGCTGTTTAGCAATATTCTTTTCTTCCGTCTCTATAGCAGTTCATGTTCAGATGGGGGTTCTCTGGATGGCAGGTGGGGAAACGGAACCCATGTGGTTTAGCGGGGCCTGCCAGGCCTCTCTCAGGACCCCATCTCTACCCCCTTCAAGGCACCTGGTGCCTTACTTTGCAGGGAGCACGAGGTGCTGCAGGTGTGCGTGGGTGTGGGAAACCACTTTTGGTGTTCTTTACAGAACTGCAAGGACACAAGGGGTAACCTCGCAACTTGATTTCTAAAGATTAGCGAATCAGTGTTGATTGTAAGGGGGCACTTACTGAAAAGCAGTAACTGGCCTTTGCGGGTAACAAGTTATAGAAACTCCACTTACATTGACTTAAGCAAACCAGAAGAGAGGGACTTACAGACCTGAAAAATCCAGGCTGAGTTAAGGCTCATATGATGTCATCAAGACTCTTTGGCCTTTCCATTCAACCCTTTGCATTGCTGTGATTCCATTCTTAGGGAGGCTGTCTCCTTATGGTGACAAAATGGCAGCCACCACTTATGACATAGTTTACACCCTAGTCTCTTAGTGACCTCAGCTAGTAGGGATTTCCCCTTCCTAACAGTTAAAAAAAAAAAAAATCCTGTAATTTTGTTTTATGGGTTCTTCCCTGTCTGAACCAGTACACTGTAAGCCCACTCCAGGATCGGCTGGTAGGTCAGCTCCACGTGAATCAAAGGGGCTTGAGTAGGAAGGA